GTTTCCTCCAAGGCGATGAGCATCATGAACAGCTTCGTCAACGACATTTTCGAACGCATCGCCGCCGAATCCAGCCGTCTGGCCCACTACAACAAGCGTTCGACCATCACCAGCCGGGAGATCCAGACCGCCGTCCGTTCCCTGTTGCCCGGTGAATTGGCCAAGCACGCCGTCAGTGAAGGCACCAAGGCCGTGACCAAGTACACCAGTTCCAAATAAGCATTTCGATATTAGTCGCGCGCTATATCCACTTAAAACGGCCCTTTTCAGGGCCAACAAATTATTATTCTGATACACGTTATATAATATAATATTATTATTATTCGTAGTGTACTCATTTAAGTAATTAATATCTGGGGTTTTTAATTTTTATACACAATATCACCGACCGACGACCGCCTTTTGTTTTGACGCCGTGTGTGTTATCGTCTTTTGTATCATTTATTATGTTTGTCGTTGGTTTGTACACGTGTGTTTTATTTGTACATTCATCGAATTTATTCACATTATTTTACCAAAAATATAAATTCACTACACAAATTAGAAAAAAACGGCAAAACAATATTGGCTATAGATAATACTTAAACTAGCTATATGTATATGTATATACAAATTTTATTACAAAAAAAAAAAAACTTGATCTGCATACAATAGTGATCTGCTCACTCGAGTTAGTTGCATAACGATACAGTTTACTGCTTAAGTATAATATTATTGTTTTTGAATATAGTTATTATTAGGGCCCGGGACTTCTAGCGTTTGCTCGCTTTTACCGAATGGTCTGAAAAATAGATCTAGATAAACTATAATTTTGAAAAATTATTTTGTATATTTTGGGATTTTTTTATGACTAGGCAAGTAGGTGCTGAAATTTTTTATTATTTTTGATAATTGAATCATATTTTTAAATTTTGTTTATTTAAAGTGTTTAAATTCATTTTTTATAAAAACTCTTTTTATTTCGGTTTTGCGGTTACAACTAGTATGAACATAATATTAAAAATTACAAGTTATATTTAAAAATAAATTTCAAGTGCATATTTGGGGTTTTATTGAGATTTTTACTGACCAATTTAGAGATAGGTACAATATAAAAAAAAAACGATTCTGAAGTATATACGTATGGATGGCGTGTACGTCAACAGATATCGCTTTTAGAAATGATCGACATCGAGACGGTTTTTCGTGTACAGTCTATTATACACAACTTTAGTGTACAAGTATTTGAATTTGAATAAAAATTTCCCGCGTCCGGCAACGGTCGACCACGGCCAACGACGCGGGTCGTTCATTCCGCTCATTTGTTTTTGTCCTGTTATCTATATCTCGCGTGTGCCGTTTAACGCACAGCGGTCCGTTTTTAATCAGTCAGGTCAATTTGTAATATTTCATAATTATTGTTATTTTGATATATTTAAAGTTTTGTTGTGGGCATACAGCCATACTTGTAATTATAAGTCAATTAGGGTTTAGGGCTGGCCAGACAGTCCTAAGTATTGTCAAATCAATTAAATGTTATTATCTGCAATAGCCAAGTATTTTTTATAGCATTACAATTTGGTATTTTTATTACTATTAAATTTCCCCGCTCGTCCATTGTAAAGGTGTCAGCTAAAGGGCAAGCCCTTTCAATCTGTTTAAAATACGATTGTCATAATGTTATTTTATTTGTATTCTATGGGTAAAATACCGACTAACAGTTGATAAACTACGGATTTATTCTAAGTTTGTATCATTTTCCTAAATATACATACAACAATAAACGTATTTACCCATGTTGTAGTCGTTTTAACTTTTTCATTCCATTTCACAATCACTATTACTTACTGTAGTTTGTATTACTATAATCTATAAAATATCGGTACGAGACACCGCGCGACACGCTTGTTGTGTATATTGTATTTTATAAATATTTGGTGGTCCTGAAAAGGACCGTTTTAAGGGTTTAAGAGAGTGTTTTTAACAAATTACGCCTTCTTTTTGGGCGCAGCCGTCTTCTTGAGTAGTTGAATGATTTGGTTTGTGTGATTTGGCTACATCCAGCATATTTATGTTTGGGTGTAATACGTCTTCAGTTGGATTTATTTCTGCTTTGGATGGTAGGTGTTTGTTACCCAGTTCGGCTACTTGATGGTAGTAGGAGCAGCCGCGATAATTCGCGGTGTGCTCGCCACCGCAATTGCAGCACTTTGGTTTCATTTCTTGGGTTTTTGTGCATTCTTTAACTAAGTGGGGGCCGGCGCACTTGACGCATCTAGGTGGGTGTCCGCAATTGCCCGAGCCGTGTCCAAATCTTTGGCATGCGTAGCATTGGGCCGGTCCTGTTTTCTTAAATTGTTCGACGGAAATTTTAATATAAAATAGTGAATCGAGGTCGTAAATCTCTTTAGCGTTTGCGTTGTGAGTCAGAATCACTAGGCAAATAGGAAGTAGTTTACTTGGGCTACCAAAGCGCTTGACGGTCTGTATCTCGAAGCCGTGGTTTGTTAGTTCTTGTTTGAGTTCGTCTTCTTCGATGTCAGTTGGTAGGCCTCTAATTATGACTTTCATAGTTCTTTCGTTTGGAAGTTTGAAGGTGTGAAATGCAATGTTGTTTCCGGTAAGAATTTTCTGAATTATTCGGAATTGGTTAACTTCGTTTGTGATTAGTTGGATGTTGTTGTCGGACGTTATTTTTGCTGTGAAGGAGTCTGGATTGGTGTCAGGATTTTGGAAAATAGTAGGGGCGATTTTTCTCCATGCCGAGGATTCTAGCATTATTGGTGGTATTTTGAATTTTTTGACAGAATTTGGTTTAACAGAGCTTGTCTTATGAGGAGAATCTTGACATTGTTGGTTGGATAGGCTGGAGGAAGAAGATGAAATGTAAGAGTCGCCTGACATGGAGTCGTTGTCGGTAACCTCCGAGGAGGTTGGTGCGGAGCGCTGTTTGCCTTTATTGTCAGACAATGACAATGACTGGACTATTTTCTTAGCTTGTGGGGAGCAAGAGCGACGGTTAAATGAGGCAGGCGGAGATTTTCTTTTTCTGGCCATGGTGGCGAGAGTAGGGATGCTACGGGTTTGTGTTGAAGGTTGTACGGACGGCGTACCGACTAGTAAACACGATCGCGACGTATCAAAGATACGCTTTGAATTGTTTGTGTTGCCCGTTGGCAGTCGAGCGCACGGCGAAAGTACTGCGGCAATGTGAGGGCGCGGCCCCACGACAGCGCTGGGGAATTCGACGCGACGAACTTCGGTTGGCGGACTGTGACTGGAGGACTAGTCGGAGTACCGTACGGTGGTCGCGGCGGACTATAAATGATGGTTCGAAAATCGTTTACGCTCATATTTATTACGCGTCGCGACTTGGTTTATCGAGTACGATTTGTAAGAGTCGACGAAAAAACGACGAGTAAGACTAACACTTTGTGTTTAAAAGCGAACCCTACGATGTGCCGTTTTTTCATCGTCAACGTCTAAGCATCAAAGAAAAACACGACGAGTATAAACAACACATAGCTTGAGACGTTCATACCTACGAAGTGTGGTTTTTCATCGTTGTTATTTTCAAACGTAGGCCAACATACAGACGCGTTTACGTCGTATAAGTGTATAAATACCGATTTTGGCCTGTTCCGATCATCAGTATCGTCTGGATTTTCTCTCGTTTCACTACACGACAACCTACAATCGAGTATCATGAGCGGACGCGGCAAAGGAGGAAAAGCAAAGAGCGGCAAATCGAAGACCCGGTCGTCCCGTGCCGGACTCCAGTTCTCGGTCGGTCGTATCCATCGTCTGTTGAGGAAGGGCAACTACGCCGAGCGCGTCGGTGCCGGCGCTCCCGTGTACCTGGCCGCTGTCATGGAGTACTTGGCCGCTGAAGTGTTGGAGTTGGCCGGTAACGCCGCCCGTGACAACAAGAAGACCCGTATCATCCCAGACATTTGCAGTTGGCCATCAGGAACGACGAGGAGTTGAACAAACTGTTGTCCGGCGTCACCATCGCCCAAGGCGGTGTGTTGCTCAACATCCAAGCTGTCCTTTTGCCCAAGAAGACCGAAAAGAAAGCATAAGAACGTCGTCGCCGTATTTACAAATATTAAAACGGCCCTTTTCAGGGCCACCAATATTTACTATTATTGCAACACTCTTGTTGTGTTTTCGGTATAAACTGATGTGCTATGTTGGGCGAAAAATATCATTACATTATTTTGTCGAGCCCTTAGAAAATATAGGTATATTTAAACAATTATAACTTAGAATTTCAGCAAATCTACTTTAGTTATTTTCTTAGGTCAATAACAATTTATAAAATATGACTATAACTCGAACTGGAAATAATATTTAAGTGTAATATAAATAGACAATTTTTTTTCCAACATTCCAGTTTGCTATTTAGCTACCTCAACCGGCACTACAATGATAACGTCATTGGTTAATATCGAAATATTGTCATCGATATTAATAGATATTATAGATTTAGATCAATATTATATTATTGTGATAATAAATTAGAACTATATCATATATGTCTATTTCGCCAATGGGCTATAATTATAAAAATCGTATATTACCCACGTGCGATTCTACTACTTGTATAATATACAAATATACAATTAGTATGTTATATTTTTTATATTAAATTATACGTTTAGTTTGTTTTATTGTTTTATGTCAACTAACATGTATGTTACAGAGAACATAATAGTCTGTATGTACCATAAAAAATATTAGTTCGAACAATTACAAATGTATACTAGTGTAGTTATTCATATTATTATAATGGCAATACGCTACAACGTTTTGTCAGTTTTTACGGTATATATACTTGATAAAATTAACTATTATTATGCACCTCCACTCTCATAACTTAGAATACTCATTAAATATACTCGATTGCATTAAATGACATAAACGTTAACTGACAATTGTAAATAATATAAAATGGTGGCCCTGAAAAGGGCCGTTTTAAAGAACAGTAGGTAGGGTGCAATGCGAACGGTCGTCGGGAATTAACCTCCGAAACCGTACAGAGTGCGGCCTTGGCGTTTCAGAGCGTAGACCACGTCCATGGCGGTGACGGTCTTCCTCTTGGCGTGCTCGGTGTAGGTGACGGCGTCACGGATTACGTTTTCCAGAAACACCTTCAACACTCCGCGGGTCTCTTCGTAGATCAGGCCGGAGATACGTTTGACACCACCGCGGCGGGCTAACCGACGAATGGCCGGCTTGGTGATTCCTTGGATGTTGTCCCGCAGCACTTTACGATGACGTTTGGCGCCTCCTTTTCCCAAACCTTTTCCTCCTTTGCCGCGTCCGGTCATTGTTGCTGATTGTCGTTCGGAGAGCTGCGTCGGACTGAAGAAACAAGTCGAATGATGCCCGGACAACGTTTTCGCGTCGTATTTATGTAATCGGGCCGTCGCGCGGACCAATCGCGGCGCGGTATCGCGCGAACCCCCTCTGTTTCGGCAGGCCGTTCCGTCGACCAATGAGAACTCGCGCCTATGATCCGAATTTGTATATAACCAGCTCGTTCGGTGTGCGGAGACACATTCGACCGTTTCGAGTTTTTACAGACAGTCTACGAACTACCGACATGGCCCGTACCAAGCAAACCGCCCGCAAATCTACCGGAGGCAAGGCTCCCAGGAAGCAGTTGGCCACCAAAGCCGCCCGCAAGAGCGCACCGGCGACCGGAGGAGTGAAGAAACCCCATCGTTACCGTCCCGGTACCGTGGCTCTCCGTGAAATCCGTCGTTACCAGAAGAGCACCGAGCTGTTGATCCGCAAATTGCCGTTCCAACGTTTGGTCCGCGAGATCGCCCAAGACTTCAAGACCGACTTGCGTTTCCAGAGCTCGGCCGTCATGGCTCTGCAAGAAGCCAGCGAAGCGTACTTGGTCGGTCTGTTCGAAGACACCAACTTGTGCGCTATCCACGCCAAGCGCGTTACCATCATGCCCAAGGACATCCAGTTGGCTCGCCGTATTCGCGGAGAACGTGCTTAATCGTCCACAAACACTACAAATCCTCTTTAAAACGGCCCTTTTCAGGGCCACTACATGCGTTACAAATATTTCTTTATTGACCTTCCAGCGGGCGCCGCGCTGTTGGTAAAATTAATACAATAGTTTTATTATTATCGACGGTCGTGGGTATCCCCCCCGAGAATGTTGTTACTTACATTTTTAGATTAATCTTGAAAATTTCCAACGACCGTTTTTATTGAAGTATTATTTGTATTAAAAAAAAGCGGGTAAAATAATAGGCGATAGACGATGAACGGGTCGGGATAGTGTTAGGCATAGTGTAAAATGTATTTTTGGCGCGCGCGGGAAGTAGTCGGCGGCGGCGGCGGCCGCGTTATAGTCGATATGAATTTGAAAGGTGTATAAAGGAATTATTATTTTCTATCCGGTTTGTCCGACGGGAGGGATGGAAGCGTTATTAAAAAAAAGAAAAAAAACCCGTAGATTGTGGTGTATTGTTTAAAACTATTTTAACTGAAATTAGGTAGATAGATGAGCCCCACACGTTTCCGCGGCACATAATTTAAAATACACGGGCAGTGACGACATCAATAGGTTCTATACGTTTCTCAAAACTAAATAATATAATATACCAAATGACGTATAATAATAATAATATATTACTTGCTAATGTGAAATGGCCATTGTTCAGCTGGTGTTTGTATTTTTTTTATCGAATACCTAGCCCATAATATACAGTTAATTATAAAAGTCAACACTTTTTGACATTTTGGGAAAATATGAAAAAAACCGTTTAATAAAATGTCCAAGACAAATAGTTGTTATCTATAAATTGCAATTTTTTTTTGTTAATTGCTCTATATTTTTAATTTTTTTTCCAACCACGTTTCAAACTAACTAGGTTCGGCACTCAAATGTGAGTAAACGAAAAGTTTTGGAATCAAGTAGATTATTGCTGGAGAAAAAAAAAAACAACGATTTTATTCATAAAATAAATTTTCTAATTTTACAATAATAATTTAGCATTTTCGTTTAATAAAATGAGAAATAATTGTTTCCGACTTTAATATTAAAATATAATAATATGTAATACCGTTGTGATGGTAATAAGTTTTTATTTGACAAACGGTCAATATTACATGCCTCTTGGCAATTACTGCAGACAATAACTTTTGGAAATAAGCCTACACATAAAGTATATGTTTATCGGGTAAAAAAACGGGTTTTGGAAATTTATTTCGAGACAAAATAAACCAAAACGTCAATCATAAAACTTTAAAAAATAATACCGATATTAATTTTTTGCAACGTAATCGGTTTTGTAAACGGGCTACTCGTCGTTCAGTTTATACACTGTGCTGTCTCGTCATAATATGGACCCCCGACGATCACGGGCGAGTCTAGATATTTATTTATATAAAATAAATTTGAACAAACGTAAAGACGTCTTAGTCGCGACGGTTTACTCGTTCGAAGCGGCTTACGGTTCAATTAAAATACAGTTCAGCGTTCGTTTGGAAGTCTTATTTTTAATAGAAATCGGGGCAGCTTTGATAGCCGAACGGGTAATATATTTTTATAATGACAATTGAAATTGTTTTTACTATTTTCGGTGTAATCTTAGGTCGATTCGGTCGGTGTGGCCGCCGTCAAAATATCGCATAGAGTCTCGACGATAACTGCGCGACGCGTAAAACTACTAACGACCCGAATTCGACACGGCCCCCCTCGGTCCCTTCATAAATCAGACTCTTATGCCCTACGCGATAATTTTTCAATACACGTGCAGATTGCGAATCGAAAAGACTTTTTAATTTAACTCGACATTAACGGGTAGTAATCGACCTCGAAAGAGGTGTATCGTTGAATAGTCGGACTGGTCGGAACAACCTCCTACGGCACAGCGGCCGTCGACTTAAAGAGAAAATTCGACCGACCGACGGCTTTGCTATAACGTTGGCTTTAAGGAGAAAGAGATTTATCGCCGTTGAGTGATTTTCGAGCGGAAAAAACGAGATAAAACGGAACGGGATCACGTCAAAACGGAAAATTCGATTCCGTAAGCGTTTACTAGTCGGTATGGCGACGAGTATATAGACGGTGTGACGGCCAAACTCGAGTTATACACACCGTTCCTGTTCATTTTGCCAGAGTACCAGAGTCTATTTTCAAACCGCTTCACCATGACCGACACCGCAGTCGCCGCACCAGCACCAGCCGCCTCGTCGCCGGCCCAGGCCAAGTCGCCGAAAAAGAAGTCCGCCGCTCCCAAGGCGAAGAAAGCCGCACCGGCTCATCCTACCACGGCCGTGATGGTGATCGCAGCCGTCAAGGAACTGAAGGAGAAAAAAGGATCGTCGTTGCCGGCTATCAAGAAATATTTGGCCGTCAACTACAAAGTGGACGCTGCCAAGCTAGCGCCTTTCATCCGCAAATTCCTAAAGTCGGCCGTCGCCAGCGGCAAGCTGGTCCAGACCAAGGGCAACGGAGCGTCGGGCCATTTCAAATTGGCCGCCGAAGTCAAAAAAGAGAAGAAGGTAGCGCCGAAAAAGAAGCCGATCGCCAAGAAAGCGGCGGTGTCCAAGGCGCCCGGAGCGGCCAAGAAGAGGAAGAGCACCGGTGCCAAGAAACCGAAATCCGGCGAGCCCGCCGCCAAGAAGGTGAAAAAGGTAGCCGCAGCGCCTAAACCCAAAGCCGCGAAACCGAAAAAGTCTCCGGCCAAGGCTAAGAAAGCGCCGGCCACCAAAGCCAAGGCACCCAAGGCGAAGAAGGTGGCAGTCAAGAAGACGGCTGCGCCCAAAAAGAAGGCGTAATTTGTTATAAACACTCTCTTAAACCCTTAAAACGGTCCTTTTCAGGACCACCAAATATTAATAAAATATAATATACACACAATAGTCGTGTCGGTCAACGGCGGTGTCTCGTACCGATATTTAATATTTTATAGATTATAGTAATACAAACTACAGTAAGTAATAGTGACTGTGAAATGGAATGAAAAAGTTAAAACGATTACAATATGAGTAAATACGTTTGTTATTGTATATTTAGGAAAATGATGTCCCACAGATACAAACTTAGAATAAATCCGTAGTTCATCAACTGTTAGTCGGTATTACCCGTAGAATACAAATAAAAAAAAATTATGACAATCGTATTTTAAACAGATTGAAAGGGCAGGGGTGACGCCTTTAGAATGGACGAGCGGGGAAATTTAATAAAAATACCAACGTTATTGTAATGCTATAAAAAATACTTGGCTATTGCAGATAATATGTAAGATGATTAAAGCGATTATGAAGTATGCAAGTATGTATGTATGTATGTATGTATGTATGTATGTATGGATGTATGTATGTATGGATGTATGTATGTATGTATGTATGTATGGATGTATGTATGTATGGATGTATGTATGTATGTATGTATGTACGTATGGATGGCGTGTACGTTAAAAGACATTGCTTTTAGAATTGATCGATATCGAGATAGTTTTTCGTGTACATTTTATCATACTACAAATTGACCTGACCGATTAAAAACGGAAAAAAACAACGGACGCGGCCGCTGCGCTGTGCGTTAAACGGCACACGCGAGATATAGATAACAGGACAAAAACAAAAAAAAAAAAAACAAACGAGCTGAATGAACGACCCACGTCGTTGTATTCATTTGTATTTCATTGTAAATTTGTATTCAAATTCAAATACTTGTGTACTATAGTCGTATATGATAAACTGTACACGAAAAACCGTCTCGATATCGATCAATTCTAAAAGCAATATCTGTTGACGTACACACCATCCATACATACATACATACATGCATACATACTCACATACAAACGTACTTCATAATCGCTTTTTTTATATTGTACCTATCTGTAAATTGTTCAATAAAACCCCAAATATGCACTCGAAATTTATTTTTAAATATAACTTGTATTTTTTAAATATTATGTTCATACTAGTTGTAACCGCAAAACTTAAATAAAAATAGTTTTTATAAAAAATAAATTTAACACTTTTAAATAAACAAAATTTTTAAATATGACGCAATTATCGAAAATAATAAAACATTTGAGTACCCACCTGCCTAAGAATAAAAAAATCCCAAAATATACGAAAAAAAAAAAATGTTCGATTCTTTAAAATGTAATTAAAAATTGTAACTTGTCAGTGTCGTATACGCACTTTGGTACACGAACCGTTAAACGCACACACACTTAAAATCGACGGGAGAAAAGGTAACACTTTTAAATTAAGTAAAAGAAAAGTAACTCAAAAGTTAATAAACACACACACACAGTTATAATATTCGTAAAAACAATAATGCGCGCGACAATACCCTCCTCGTAATAAAACGGTCTATTACGGGAGAGTGCCCCCGACAAAGTAATTTGGGCGGCCTTAAATGATAAACATTATTGACATTTTTACTGTGTAGACAATTTTGTATAGTTTTGTTTTGATTGTTTGGCCTGCGTTTAATTGCTTACTTGCTAAAATACGTTGGTCTTTAAGAACTATACTGCAGTCAGATCTATTTTTCAGACCATGCGGTACAAGTCCCGGGCCCTAAAAATATAATATATTCAAATGCAATAATATTATACTCTGCCAGTAAACTGTGTCGTTATGCAATTAACTCGAGTGAGCAGATCACTGTTGTATTTTATTTTAGTTAATAAAGCTGTTATATACATATATAGCTAATTTAAGTGTTATCTATAGCTAATATTGTTTTCCCGTTTTTTTCTAATTTGTGTAGTGAATTTATATTTTTAGTAATGTAATGTGAAAAAATTCGCTGAATGTACAAATAAAATACACGTCGTAGTACTAACCGACGACAAACGTAATATAATGATACAAAAGACGATTACACACACGGCGGTCGGTGATATTGTCAATAAAAATTAAAAACCCCAGATTTTAATAACTTAAATAGGATACACTACGAGTAATAATAATAATAATAATATATTATAACGTGTATCAGAATAATAATTTGGTGGCCCTGAAAAGGGCCGTTTTAAGTGGATATAGCGCGCGACTAATATCGAAATGCTTATTTGGAACTGGTGTACTTGGTCACGGCCTTGGTGCCTTCACTGACGGCGTGCTTGGCCAATTCACCGGGCAACAGGAGACGGACGGCGGTCTGGATCTCCCGGCTGGTGATGGTCGAACGCTTGTTGTAGTGGGCCAGACGGCTGGATTCGGCGGCGATGCGTTCGAAAATGTCGTTGACGAAGCTGTTCATGATGCTCATCGCCTTGGAGGATACGCCGGTGTCGGGGTGGACTTGTTTCAACACCTTGTAGATGTAAATACCGTACGATTCTTTCCTCTTCGGCTTGCGCTTCTTGTCGGACTTGGTGATGTTTTTCTGCGCCTTGCCGGACTTCTTCATGGCCTTGCCTGCGGATTTACCTCCTGGTGCCATAGTGACTGCGGTTGTACACGGTTTGCGGGTCGTCGAAATAGTTGGCCGGTAGCTGGTGGACGAATGATGGTTCGAAAATCGTTTACGCTCATATTTATTACGCGTCGCGACTTGGTTTATCGAGTACGATTTGTAAGAGTCGACGAAAAAACGACGAGTAAGACTAACACTTTGTGTTTAAAAGCGAACCCTACGATGTGCCGTTTTTTCATCGTCAACGTCTAAGCATCAAAGAAAAACACGACGAGTATAAACAACACATAGCTTGAGACGTTCATACCTACGAAGTGTGGTTTTTCATCGTTGTTATTTTCAAACGTAGGCCAACATACAGACGCGTTTACGTCGTATAAGTGTATAAATACCGATTTTGGCCTGTTCCGATCATCAGTATCGACTGGATTTTCTCTCGTTTCACTACACGACAATCTACAATCGAGCATCATGAGCGGACGCGGCAAAGGAGGAAAAGCAAAGAGCGGCAAATCGAAGACCCGGTCGTCCCGTGCCGGACTCCAGTTCCCGGTCGGTCGTATCCATCGTCTGTTGAGGAAGGGCAACTACGCCGAGCGCGTCGGTGCCGGCGCTCCCGTGTACCTGGCCGCCGTCATGGAGTACTTGGCCGCTGAAGTGTTGGAGTTGGCCGGTAACGCCGCCCGTGACAACAAGAAGACCCGTATCATCCCCAGACATTTGCAGTTGGCCATCAGGAACGACGAGGAGTTGAACAAACTGTTGTCCGGCGTCACCATCGCCCAAGGCGGTGTGTTGCCCAACATCCAAGCCGTCCTTTTGCCCAAGAAGACCGAAAAGAAAGCATAAGAACGTCGTCGCCGTATTTACAAATATTAAAACGGCCCTTTTCAGGGCCACCAATATTTACTAATACTGCAACACTCTTGTTGTGTTTTCGGTATAAACTGATGTGCTATGTTGGGCGAAAGATATCGTTACATTATTTTGTCGAGCCCTTAGAAAATATAGGTATATTTAAACAATTATAACTTAGAATTTCAGCAAATCTACTTTAGTTATTTTTTTAGGTCAATAACAATTTATAAAATATGACTATAACTCCAATTGGAAATAATATTTAAGTATAATATACAATATGATTATTAGTATGAGCTTGAAATACCAACGTATACATATGTGACAACAGTGATTTAATGACACTTGACTAAAACAAAAAAGACAATTGTATTTTGCTATTTAGCTACAACATCGGCCGGCACTACAATAATAACATCATTGGTTAATATCGAAATATTGTCTCTTCAATAATATTGTCATCGATATTAATAGATATTATAGATTTAGATCAATGACTTACAATATTATATTATTGTGACAATAAATTAGTACTATATGTCTATTTTACCAATGGGCTATAGTTATAAAAATCGTATATTACCCACGTGCGATTTTACTAATTGTATAATACACAAATATTCAATTAGTATGTTATATTATATTATACATTTAGTTTGTTATATTTTTTATGTCAACTAGCATGTATGTTACAGAGTACACAATAGTCTGTATGTACTATAAAATATTAACTCGAACAATTACAAATGTATACCGTTAAAACTACTCGTTTGTATATATATTATTATTATAATGGCAATACGCCATAACGTTTTGGTAATTCATACGGTATACTTCATAATATTAACTATTTTGCGCATTCAAACACGTGACACATAATATTATACTCATGTAGCCGACTGCGAAATGCATTAAATGACATAAACGTTAATGGATAATTGTGATAACATAAAATGGTGGCCCTGAAAAGGGCCGTTTTAAAGAACAGTAGGTAGGGTGCAATGCGAACGGTCGTCGGGAATTAACCTCCGAAACCGTACAGAGTGCGGCCTTGGCGTTTCAGAGCGTTGACCACGTCCATGGCGGTGACGGTCTTCCTCTTGGCGTGCTCGGTGTAGGTGACGGCGTCACGGATTACGTTTTCCAGAAACACCTTCAACACTCCGCGGGTCTCTTCGTAGATCAGGCCGGAGATACGTTTGACACCACCGCGGCGGGCTAACCGACGAATGGCCGGCTTGGTGATTCCTTGGATGTTGTCCCGCAGCACTTTACGATGACGTTTGGCGCCTCCTTTTCCCAAACCTTTTCCTCCTTTGCCGCGTCCAGTCATTGTTGCTGATTGTCGTTCGGAGAGCTGCGTCGGACTGAAGAAACAAGTCGAATGATGCCCGGACAACGTTTTCGCGTCGTATTTATGTAATCGGGCCGTCGCGCGGACCAATCGCGGCGCGGTATCGCGCGAACCCCCTCTGTTTCGGCAGGCCGTTCCGTCGACCAATGAGAACTCGCGCCTATGATCCGAATTTGTATATAACCAGCTCGTTCGGTGTGCGGAGACCCCCGCACCAACTGGTACACATCATAAAATCCTTTTTAGAAGACAGGTCATTCCACGTCAGAGTCGGAGAAACTGAATCGACACCAAGACACATCAACGCCGGCGTCCCACAAGGATCGAGCCTATCACCACAGCTCTTCTCCGTCTACATCGACGACATGCCCCGGCATCCCAAAACCAAGACCGCTCTCTTCGCCGACGACACTTTAATATACGCATCGAGCCCAACGAACACCTGCTCGTCAAAACGACTCCAAGAACACCTGAATCTACTGACACCGTGGCTCAAGCAATGGAAGATTACAGTCAACGCCCAGAAAACAAACGCTATCATGTTCTCCAACAAAGCCACGACGAACACACCACGGATTGTCATGCAAGGTCAACAAATCAAATGGTCCCACTCGACCAGATACCTGGGAGTTCAAATCGACCGGAGGCTCAACTTTTCCCAGCACATCAACAAGACGGTCCAAAAAGCCAAAGCAGCCAAGAGAATGCTATTCCCGGTCATAAACTCAAAGAGCCCCCTCTCCATCAATACAAAACTGTCAATATACAAGCTATACATCAGGCCAATCATGACGTACGGAGGAGCAGCCTGGGCGTCAAACCTTTCAGAAACAAGTTGGAAAACACTCGAAACCGTCCAAAACACCACGCTCAGGGCAATAATAAATCCAGCGCCATTTGTGAACAACACGGCAGTAAGAAACAGCACGAAAATGCCAACAATCCGAGAAACCATAAAGAAAGCGACACAAAACGTATACAAGAAGCTTGAAAACACCCCCCACCAACATCTCAAGCTAATCACCACCCGACCAGCCACAAGAGAGCGTCACCACAAACGACCCCTCAGCATCGGAAGTTAAAACACAAACGGAAGAAACCAAACAGGGAAAATAAAATCCACAGAGAGTCAAGCCAATATATCAAACTCCCTGGAAGAAGCAAATAGCTTGAAACAGAGGAACAATCCAAACCAGCAATGCAAAATGTGCGGAGGGAGACACATTCGACCGTTTCGAGTTTTTACAGACAGTCTACGAACTACCGACATGGCCCATACCAAGCAAACCGCCCGCAAATCTACCGGAGGCAAGGCTCCCAGGAAGCAGTTGGCCACCAAAGCCGCCCGCAAGAGCGCACCGGCGACCGGAGGAGTGAAGAAACCCCATCGTTACCGTCCCGGTACCGTGGCTCTCCGTGAAATCCGTCGTTACCAGAAGAGCACCGAGCTGTTGATCCGCAAATTGCCGTTCCAACGCTTGGTCCGCGAGATCGCCCAAGACTTCAATACCGACTTGCGTTTCCAGAGCTCGGCCGTCATGGCTCTGCAAGAAGCCAGCGAAGCGTACTTGGTCGGTCTGTTCGAAGACACCAACTTGTGCGCTATCCACGCCAAGCGTGTTACCATCATGCCCAAGGACATCCAGTTGGCTCGCCGTATCCGCGGAGAACGCGCTTAATCGTCTCGACACACACTACGAATCCCATTTAAAACGGCCTTTTTCAGGGCCACAACAATACGTTACGTTACAATATTATTATTTCTTTATCGACACTATTCTATTTCTATTTCCAATTTTACAAGAATAATTTAGAATTTTCGTTTAATAAAATGAGAAATAATCGTTTCCGACTTTAATATTAAAATATAATAATATGTAATACCGTTGTGATGATAATAAGTTTTTATTTGACAAACGGTCAATATTACATGCCTCTTGGCAATTACTGCAGACAATAACTTTTGGAAATAAGCCTACACATAAAGTTTATATTTATCGGGTAAAAAATGGGAGTAGTAGCAAAATGGGGCTTTACCGCCCATTTTAAAAATTCTTGTAAATTAAACTAGAAATGAATATCAACATCTCTTTATATAGTATAATACCTTTTATTAATCACAATAATTATAACATTTTATGATTTATCAATCTGTATAGCATAAAATAAACTTACATAAAGGTTTTCTGTCTCTATTATTCAAAGCTAAATCAATTTTAAATTACATAAATTCTACCTAACACACATGAAAATTATCCTGAAGAACCGAAACCTTTTTCTCCTCTATCAGTTTCATCTAATGACCGAAGTTCCCTGAGTTCTGGATACACAATTTTTTCACATATTAGTTGTGCTACTCGATCTCCACGTTGAACGATAAAGTCTACATCAGAATGATTGAATAGGAGAATACCAACGTTCCCGCGGTAATCTCGATCAATTACTCCAGCTAGGATTTAAAAAAAAAAAATATATATAACATTTTATTTAGTGATTAGATTTTATAAGCATACCTCCAACATCAATAAAATGTTTCCATGCTATTCCTGATCTCGGTGCAATTCGTCCATATGTACCATATGGTACCACAATTTGTAGATCGGTCTTAATCAATTCGTTTCCATGTGCTACTACAATATATTGGTATGGACTTTTTAGATCGTATCCAGCCGCATGCTGTCTTCCTCTAATCGGCGTGTATGCTTTATCGGTTAATTTAGAAAATAAAAGCATCTAAAGTTTTAAACAATCATTCATTCATAATAATCTTTATTTAATTTAACCCTAGCTTCATTTACTAATTTTATCATAGCATCATTCGTTTTTTTGTCTAAACTTTTTTCTATTTTTTTTTCTAATTCATCATTCATTAACGTCATATTTATTTTATTTTCCAAACTAGTGATACATTCTTTGAATGAGTTATTTAATTCAGATTTTATTGTTTCTATTGTATTTTTTGAAACATTAGTTATTGATTCATTATGTGTATTAAGTTTTTTTTCTAAACTATCTTTTAAACCAGTCTGAGTTTCTAAGATAGAATTTTTTGGAGGCCTACAATGATATAACGAGGTTTTTCCAATTTCGTTGATGTTTTTAAATTCCATAGTACATTTTTCGTGTTTCCGAGTTCAGGGTAAGTATATGTTTCAAATGATCTAAATGGTATAAACAAATCTTTTTCTTTTTCAACTATTTTCATTAATTTTAAACGCTGGCTATCATCAACACTAACATGAGGAACTTTCCAAACAATATTCTTAATATTCACACTACCTGTAGTTGCATCATCACTTTTTTTAATCAATGCATTTAAATCACTATTTGATCTAGTTAATATGAGTTCTATTCGTGAATTTAATACAATTTTTCTATAATGCTCAAAAAGCCTAACCAGTATTTTAGTGGCATACATGCTGTAAAATGACCATTTGTGTCTGATATGGATGAACTATTTTTGAAAGTCCATCCAGCATTTTCGTAACAATAATAATTATCTGGTGTACTTGAAAGATATCCTTTGATAGAACTTGTAATACCTAACATTCGCGAACTATCTATCTCGATACCATATAATTCTAAGCGAACTTGTTCAAAAAGAAAAGATAATCCATTATTACCTAGTTTTACTTTATCTTTTTCTTCAATGTCGCCTTCGATGTATAAAAAGCTTTCATGTAAATATGGGTATACATCAGTTTGTTGTACACATATACGCGTCCGTTGTTTTTTTCCGTTTTTAATCAGTCAGGTCAATTTGTAGTAGGATAAACTGTACACGAAAAACTATCTCGATATCGATCAATTCTAAAAGCAATGTCTTTTAACGTACACGCCATCCATACGTACATACATACATACATACATACATGCTTGCATACTTCATAATCGCTTTAATCATCTTACATATTATCTGCAATAGCCAAGTATTTTTTATAGCATTAAAATAACGTTGGTATTTTTATTAAATTTCCCCGCTCGTCCATTCTAAAGGCGTCACCCCTGCCCTTTCAATCTGTTTAAAATACGATTGTCATAATTTTTTTTTATTTGTATTCTACGGGTAATACCGACTAACAGTTGATGAACTACGGATTTATTCTAAGTTTGTATCTGTAGGACATAATTTTCCTAAATATACAATAACAAACGTATTTACTCATATTGTAATCGTTTTAACTTTTTCATTCCATTTCACAGTCACTATTACTTACTGTAGTTTGTATTACTATAATCTATAAAATATTAAATATCGGTACGAGACACCGCCGTTGACCGACACGACTATTGTGTGTATATTATATTTTATTAATATTTGGTGGTCCTGAAAAGGACCGTTTTAAGGGTTTAAGAGAGTGTTGTTAACAAATTACGCCTTCTTTTTGGGCGCAGCCGTCTTCTTGACTGCCACCTTCTTCGCCTTGGCTTTGGTGGCCGGCGCTTTCTTAGCCTTGGCCGGAGACTTTTTCGGTTTCGCGGCTTTGGGTTTAGGCGCTGCGGCTACCTTTTTCACCTTCTTGGCGGCGGGCTCGCCGGATTTCGGTTTCTTGGCACCGGTGCTCTTCCTCTTCTTGGCCGCTCCGGGCGCCTTGGACACCGCCGCTTTCTTGGCGATCGGCTTCTTTTTCGGCGCTACCTTCTTCTCTTTTTTGACTTCGGCGGCCAATTTGAAATGGCCCGACGCTCCGTTGCCCTTGGTCTGGACCAGCTTGCCGCTGGCGACGGCCGACTTAAGGAATTTGCGGATGAAAGGCGCTAGCTTGGCAGCGTCCACTTTGTAGTTGGCGGCCAAATATTTCTTGATAGCCGGCAACGACGATCCTTTTTTCTCCTTCAGTTCCTTGACGGCTGCGATCACCATCACGGCTGTGGTAGGATGAGCCGGTGCGGCTTTCTTCGCCTTGGGAGCGGCGGACTTCTTTATCGGCGACTTGGCCTGGGCCGGCGACGAGGCGGCTGGTGCTGGTGCGGCGACTGCGGTGTCGGTCATGGTGAAGC